AGAGAGAGAGAGAGAGAGAGAGAGAGAGAGAGAGAGAGAGAGAGAGAGAGAGAGAGAGAGAGAGAGAGAGAGAGAGAGAGAGAGAGAGGCAGAGCAAGAGAGAGATGTTCCTCTCTCTCTTTCCTCCCAATCCACCCCCTCAAGACTGTCCGCACTCTCTCCCCTTCCTGGTACATCGAATACCTTCCGCCCTCCGCCACCCTCCAAGCTCTCCGATCCCTTCTCCGAGATGCACCTCTATTTTATCCCAGCTCCTCTCAGCACCACCCATCCTTTCTCTCCCATCTACGTCGATCCCATTCCCTTTCCTCCCAGCCGTTGATCAACACCTAATTCCTGCTCAATCCTTCTACTCCCCCTCTGACTTCTCCAGTTCCCTCCTCCACAACTCTCCCATCCCTCCCAGTACCTCACCAGCAACCATTGCTCCTCCCTTTCCTCCTCCTCCTCCTCCTCCTCCAACCCGTTCGATCCCTGTCAACACCTCCCCTTCAACCAATGCTGCCCTGCACTTATAGCTTGTACACATTCAGGACTAGGGTGCGCCGTGTTCAGGGCAAGACCTTAGTCCACCGTGGTTTAGTACGAAACATCAAAACGGATCCAAGTAAAGTATATACGAAAACTGATATGCTGCTTATATTTTCCTGTGATAAAAGAAAAACAGATATGCTGCATGTATTCTTCTGTGTCGGGGATCCAAGTAAAGTATATAAGAAAAAGTTGAAAAGTCAGAAAAAGTTGAAAAACAGATATGCTGCTTGTATTTTTCTGTGTCTAGAGCCGCATACCCCTATAATGGTACCTGGTCGAAAGCGCTGCATTAGCGCTCGCGAAAGAGTCCACTGTACCGCGTAACAACGGACAGCCTGCCCGGTAACGAGTCGGCGCCGCGCGGATTTCATTACTGGTCGTCATCTTCTTTATGGTTTTCACCACAGTTAAAACATGATGGATCCCGCACCGCAGGACATCCCAGATTACAGAATGACCGATGGGTTCCTGTTTGAGAAAACTGACAGATTGACAGGCTGTGCGTTGCTAATAACGAAGAAGTCAAAAGTCTGATTCTAGGGGTGATGCTGAGGGACATTTTGGTTGGGGGAAAACTTATGCGAGTCTCCTCAGGTCTTATACATGGGTAGGAATGAAGTGCAATCAGACTCGTTCTCGTTCACACTTTCCATGCATGTAAACAGCAGCACAGCAAACTGGTGACATGCGCCCACTCAAAACTCAGAGATATGGCTTCCAGATACGAGTTCACTTTCAATTGGCTATGGCGGCTCAGCGCCCAAACAACTCACTGTTCACACACACCGGATCACCCTGGATATCCCACACGCGTAACTCTGAACACTCGCACATACACACACACACACTTCACACTAACTACAGCTATGGCAGCTATGGCTGCCTCTACCCTATCGCTATACTAAGCTCCTTCTCTCTCGCCCACTGCGTCCTCCGGGCTCACTGCAGACCTCCTTGCACAAGTCGCTGTGACAGCGCTTCCGCATGGCTCACGCAGGAATGAATGAAAGGCTGGACGCTGCCTCTTGATTTATACTTCGGAAACTCGTTGGTCTGCCCTTTGCCATCGGCCCATGGTGCTCACAGTCCCCCGTGGTACTTGCTGGACCGGACTGGGACTGACTGGACCTTACCGCTGACTG